AACGTATAGAATATCACTACTTACAATACAAATAGGTAAACTTGTATTACAAACCAATGAATACAAAATATACAAATCATAACACAAAAGTATACAAACTAGACAAACAAACATTAAAAATTACAATATATACAAAATAGTCATATAAACATTACAAATGTAAAGAGAAAAATTCACTGCTGACGAAAAATCTCTCTCTCAAGTCAAAAGAAATCCCCCATGTCAGGTCCATTGGCGGTCCGCTCAAATGGGATGCCGGAAATTCAGGTTGTTGGTGGAGAAACTGGACGCCGGAAATTTATTGTCGATGAAGGTGGGAGTAAAGCTGTAAAGGAATTTATTAAATCATTTAATAATTAAAAATTTAAAAAGTGATGCAATTACTACATTACCCTTCATTAAAGTAGATTAATATCAACCATCAAATTTAAATGAGCTTGAAGGGCTGAGATTCGCTTATAGGGGACCCTTCTTAGTCACCTGATCCTAGCCCCTAATTTATGGGGAAAGAAAAGTAACGAGGAGCTTTCAACTTCACTAGAGAAAGGTAAGTATAATTTTTGGGTAAATAATATTCTAATGATAAGTGAGAGTAAGATAGTTTTTTCCGGTATTCTCACTTAAATGACGGAAATACTAACAAAAAAATATTATTGGTTACATGTCATAATTAAAAGGTATATTTCTCCATGTGATTTTCACGTGGAGGCAGGGCTGGGAGTATTAGCATCTGGCGGATGGAGGAAGTGTCGCTTACGGTGATGTCTGACTCTAATAATCATTTGGATGTTAAGATAGAGGAACCGCTGAATTTGACATGGCGTTTCACGAGCATTTATGGTTGGTCGGAAGGAAGAGAAAAATACCGAACGTGGGATTTGATCCATAATCTTGCAGGACGGTGGTCTGGCCCTTGGATATGAGGAGATTTCATCCCATATCTATCGGCTCACGAGAAGAAGGGAGGAATTTAGCTGACGAGAATGAGATGGTCGCCTTTGTTGACTGACTTACCGAAGTCGGGTTGGAGGACATGGGTTTTCAGGGGTACCCGTACATCTGGGAGAACCAGAGGATGGTGGGAGGATATATTGAAGAGAGACTGGACCGGTTTATAGCCAATGAGGAATGGAGAGACATCTGGCCTCAAGCATGAGTATCACTTAGATAGTAATCGATCGGACCATCGCCCGATTCTATACTAGACAACAGAGGAAGAAGATGAGGAAGTAAAATGGGGATGATTCTTTCGTTTTGAACAACACTGGATCAAGCACGCGGAATGTATGGATCAAGTGGCTGGAGCTTGGGATGCGGGAGGTGGGAATGTGTTTGATAAAATCTCTCGGGTTCAAGAGCAGCTAGACGGTTGGAATAGAGTTTCCTTCCCTAATTTCTAGAAGCAAAAAGCAAAAATTAGAAGGCAATGAAGGCTTTGAAATGGAAGTAGGCTACTGGGGAGGTTCTGGCTCAGCGCGCTGCCTTGCGAAAAGAGTTAGAGGAGGTGTAAAATGATGAAGAAATTTTTTGGAATACACGAAGGTGACAAGAATACCAATTTCTTCCACAAAAAAGCCTCAGCTCGGCGAAGACGGAATACCATTAAAAAGCTCAAAGATGAGACAGGACTGTGGTGGAAGGGTACTGATCAAGTTTCACAGTGTCTCTGGGAATACTTTAGCCAGCTTTTTAAAGCTGGGTCTCGACCCCTTCTCACCCCGGTTTTGGACTCTGTGACTCGTCGGATAGGAGAGGAAGAGAACATGGAGTTGAATCGGCTTGTCACTCGAGAAGAGATATATAATGTGCTCCGAAACATGGGTAAAAGGAAAGCGTCAGGGCCAGACGGGCTCTCGGTCCTCTTCTTTACAAAATTTTATAGGGGTGGGAAACGGTACGGTTGCGGTTAACTGCACCGCAATTTGCGATTAACTGCAACCACAAAGTGCCTATATTAGCCAACCGCGACCGCACTTGCCACGGTTAGCGGTTAACTGCTAACCGCAAAATATGGTTAACGGTGCACCGTGGTTACTCGCATCACCAACCGAGAGAAGATGAGGAGAGGATGGCGGTCAGCGGACGGATTTTTTGCTCTCTGCTCTCTTGGCTCTGGGAATTGCTTGTTGCTGGAAGAGAAGGGACGATGTTGGAATGGACTTTATGGTCACTGAGATTTGTTGGACGTCGGAAGAGAAGCCGAGAAGGGACGGTGGCAGAGAGGTTTCCGGACAATGACGCTGGTTTGGAACAGTCGCGCCGTCGGAGTCGCGGTGGTAGGGAGGAACTAGGGTTTTCGTTCGATTTGGAAAAGGCGGAAAGGGAAAGCGATTCGCAGTTGGGGGGAGGGGGGAGTAGGGTGGTCGGTTGGGAAGGCCAGAAGGGGCTGGGTGCCTGGGTTGGGAGTGGGTTTGGGCCTAGGGTATGGTATTTTGTTGGGCTGGCTGGTCTGGAAAATGAAATTGATGGGCTGGGTTGTGGTTAGCATGCGGTTAGATGTGTTTACGGTTTCGGTTGGGGTTAAACCGCAAAACACTCAATATCTCCAACCGCGACCGCAAAAGAGGCTATTTTTGCGGTTTGCGGTTAACCACTAACCTCGCGGTTTCGGTGCGGTTAGCAATTTAACCGCAACACCGCAACCGAATTCCCAACCCTAAAATTTTGGCATATTGTTGCTGATGACGTAACAGAGTTAATTACGACAGTGTTTGAGACGGGGGTAATGCCAGAGTCCATGAATCATACCCTAATCGCTTTAATACCCACGGTAAAGGATCCGAAGATGCCGAAAGAGTTTCTCCCAATTGCTATATGCAACGTTCTGTATAAACTACTTGCTAAGGTGATGGCCAATCGTCTCAAAGGCCTCTTGGACAGGATTATATCCCCGGAGCAGTCAGCTTTTGTGCCCGACAGATTTATTGCGGATAACGTTATGGTAGCTTTCGAGTGTTTCCATACTATGAAAAAGAAAACGAAGAACAACACCATTTTTTTTTTATTTTTTTGTTTTTGCGACAAAGACGGACATGGCTAAAGCCTACGACAGAGTGGAGTGGTGGTTTTTGGAAGGGATAATGCAGAGATTGGGGTTCTCGGATAGATGGACGCACCTTGTTATGATGTGCGTTACGTGTGTTACATACTCCATCTTGGTGAATGGACATCGTTCACAATAGCTGATTCCAACGAGAGGCCTCCGACAAGGAGACCCGCTCTCCCCGTACTTATTCTTGCTTGTGGCGGAGAGGCTGTCATCTTGCACATCTAAGGCAGTTCGCGAGAAACAGATCCATGGGTTGTCTGTTGCGAGAGGAGCTCCGGTGATCTCTCACCTATTTTTTGTTGATGACTCTATCTTTTTTGCCAGGGCCACTGTCCAGGGGAGTAAGGAGTTGAGGAGAATTTTGGGGGACTATCAACTAGAGTCTGGCCAACTTGTGAGTTTTGAGAAATCGGAAGTCAGTTTTGGTGAAAACGTGAAGCCACATTAGAAGTTGTTGGTCCGTTCGACCTTGGGGATGCGAGCTGTCGATAAACATGATAAATACCTGGGATTAGTGACACGGGTGGGAAGATCAAAGAAAGCTCTTTTTGTTTATCTAAAGGAACGTGTGAGGAAAAAGTTATCTGGCTGTAAAAAAAGAACGATGTCAGCAGCGGCAAGGGAGGTATTGATTAAATCAGTTGCGCAGGCCCAACTAACGTATACGATGGCTGTTTTTAAGGTCCCTGATGGTATCATTGATGAAATTCATAGTATGATTATGCGATTTTGGTGGGGGCAACAAGGCGATGAACGAAGAATTCTTGGATTACAAGGGCATCCCTAGTCAGATCGAAGTCAGAAGGGGGTATGGGCTTTCGGGATTTGTGGGGCTTCAATCTTTCCCTTTTAGCACGTCAGCTCTGGGGCCTTTACCAATGCCTAGACTCACTCATATCAAAGATTTTGAAAGCAAAGTATCATAAGAATGATAATATTTTGGATGAAAGTATTGGATATCGGCCTAGTTACGTATGGAAGAGTTTGATGGGGGCACAAGATTTTCTAATGAGTGGACTCAGATGGAGGATCGGAAACGGATCAACTGCGAAGATATGGGGGGACCGTTGGATTCCAACAGTACCATGGTACTATGTGCAATCGCCACCGATGGGGCTGTCGGTCGATGTGCCTGTTAGAGACCTGATTGACGAAGAGTTAAATCAATGTGACGAGACGCTTCTTGAAAGTTGTTTCCCAACAACGATGTCGGTGGCCATTCGTCAAATCCCATTATGAGACTCTTCAGTTCCTGACAGGCTGATATGGGCGAATAGTAAAGACGGAAATTATGCAGCAAGATACGGGTACCGAAAGTGGTTGGAAGATGATCGAGAGTATAATGGTGACGCGGCGACGAGTGACCTACCCTTGTGGAAAGGCATTTGGTCTCTTAATATACCTCCTAAAGTCAGAGTGTTTCTTTGGAGGTTCACAGAGAATCTCTTGCTACAGGGGATCGAGTGAGTATACGTAGTTCTCGAAGAGGGGATGCATGCCCGTTCTGTAACCTTAAGGAAACACAGGTTCACCTCTTCAGTGAGTGTGCTTGGGCTTCGAGATTGCGGCACACTTCTCAGGTGGAGCAGTGTTTCGAATTGCGAGGAGATGGAAGTTGTAAGGAGTGGGTGGCGAAGGTGATTGCATCTGTGCCAAAAGAGATGACGGAAGACTGGAGTATGTTGACTTATGGTCATTATGGAAGGAACACAATGCCCATCTATTCAATGTTAAGAAGATGAAAGAAAGCGATATTGTCCCACGAGCAATTGCATACCTTGATGAATATCGTCAACATCAACGCTATGACCAACAGGTTCCCTCCCCAGGAGCTATATACACTTGGCAGAGGCCACCTTGGGGTATGATCAATGTCAATACAGATGTTGGATTTAGTGAGGAGAGCACTGGACTGGGAGTGGTTATCAGAGATCATGATGGAAGGTTTATAATGGCAGCGGCAAGGAGGGTACGTGGGAAGCATGACCAATCGATGGGTGAAGCACTGGCTATGGAACTCGGATTACAGCTAGTTCGACGACATCAGCTAGGAACACCGTTGGTGGAAGTGGAATCAGACTGCTTGACAGTAGTCAACAGGATTAGGGAAGCTCGTGTGAACTACACCGAGCTGGGCACTATTGTGTTGAATATCAGGAAATTGTTACAGGGAGAAGAGGCGGGCAGAGTCCAACATACCAGAAGAAATGCGAACAAGGCAGCACATATAATGGCGCATATGGACACTCGATGGGATGAGACAGAGGTATGGTTTGATAGACCGCCAATTAGTATTCTTGACCTGTTAAAACTGGATGATGTACGCTTGACATCTACCTAATAAAACTGAGCGCAGATTTCTGTTTAAAAAAAAAAGGTATATTTGTAATTTCTTTTAAGTATTATTATTAACTTTCATTTTCATTTGGCAACTGTTTTTATTTTTGGCGTTCTCTTCTAGAGCTTCCTTAGTCAGCAATCAAAAAAATACAAATCATCAATAAACCTCACGCTTTTCTTTTGTTCTACTCCTCCGCTTTCTTTCGTCTCTCTCTCTTTTTCCCCGTTTAAACCTCCCACCCCGTTGTTCTCCTTCCTTCCCTTTCCCTTTCCCCCACCTCCCTTCCAAAAGGTCTTCTCTCACCTCCTGCCTCTTCCCACCGGAGAAAAGAAGAGAGAGGCCGCTCCAGTTTTGTGTGTGGTGCGTTGTTTAGTCGCCGTGTAATTTGATTTAGAAAGAGACGGGGATATAGATAGAGAGTGGCTTTTCCAGCAAACGTAACAGCAACAACGACACGGACGAAGCTCCCTCCTTAGAAATCTCAGATCTCTCTCTGCCTTCGCCGAATCCGCCTCCCTGACTCGCCGGAAATGGCGCAGAAAACTCTGATCTACTCCTTCGTCTCCCGCGGCACTGTGCTTCTCGCCGAGTACACCGAATTCAGCGGCAATTTCAATTCCATAGCCTTCCAGTGCCTCCAGAAACTCCCCGCAACCAACAACAAGTTTACCTACAACTGCGACGGCCACACTTTCAATTATCTCGTTGATAATGGCTACAGTGAGTTCCTTGTCTTCTCCTCCTTCTGTTCTCGTTTTCGTTCATTCCTTTCTGAAATGGAGTTAGGCGAGGCCGATTTTTGACTAGAACTGATTCCGATTCATGGCGGCTGAGTTTCTGGTCCACTCTAAGTCTGATTAGAAAGTTTTTTTTTTTTTGTTGTTGATCGAGGGATCTGCTTGGCCGTATTGTTGTTGATTGACTAGAATCGGTAGCCAGTAGGGAGATGATGAATATCTTGAACTGGATCACGGATCTTAGGCCGTGCTTTTTCATTTTCGATTTGTATGTAAATCCTCTATGCCGTGGCGGCGGACTGACTTTCCTTATTCTACTTTGCAGCGTACTGCGTCGTTGCCGATGAATCAGCTGGAAGACAGGTGCCCATGGCTTTCCTGGAACGTATCAAGGAAGATTTCATGGCGAAATACGGTAGTGGAAAGGCTACAACAGCTGCTGCCAATAGCCTAAACAAGGAATTTGGGTAATCTGATTGGTGAATTGTGATACATGATCAGTTTGTTCTTATGACTTTTCTTTGGCTGTAACATAAACCCTTGCCTGTTTGTAGGCCAAAACTGAAAGAGCATATGCAGTACTGTGTGGATCACCCTGAAGAGATAAGCAAGCTTGCAAAGGTTAAAGCTCAGGTTTCAGAAGTGAAAGGAGTTATGATGGAGAACATCGAAAAGGTAGGGTGCATCATCTCTCTGGTCTTGGTGGAATGACAAAGATCACATTGTTTCCTTAAATATTACCAGAATACCAGAGCAAATGTGGATTTAAATTGTCAATACTTCTGTGTCTTCATGATCGTGAATATACCATGTTCTGTGCTCCTTTGTCAGTTGGTCTTGTGTAGTGAAGTGACTGTTACATGGTCAATGAACTGTCAGTTGTTTACCAGATGCACCAATTTCTCATTGTGTGCATTATAATGAGATCAATGCTGATGTTGCCATATGTATAGGTTGAGTAAATGTTATGTGTTTTGTAACACCACCCTATCAATATCATTGTTGTTAATGACCCCAGCTGAGTGGTATCAGAACTTCCTGCCTCTCGATGTTATGGCTGTTCTATTCGGAAGATGCTTTTGTTTGCTTAAGCCGTTTCATCATAAACTTCTTGTTCACTAATGCTGACATTTTTCATATTTCTAGTGTTGTTCCTGTTTTTTTTTTCTTTTTTGCTTGATGAATTTCTGGATGTGATTGTTTCGGGAAACTAGTTGTCTTTCCTCCTCGGACAAGCAAAGTTGAATATTTTTCGTATGTGGTCTTATGAGAAATTTTCCAAATTATAGTACTTCTTGCTCAACTCATAGCTCTTGTGAGCTTGTTTGCATACATGAATGATCAAGAGAGCACACTGTGCCACTGTACTTTAATAGAGTTTTGGTACGAATTGTGAAGCAGCCAGGCTGACTTCCCATTGGGGTTGTGTTCTGCCAACATGCATGCTTTTATTTTGTCTAATAGGATATCAACACAAGTAGCTGAAATTCTCTCATGTCCGTCTTATATAGGTTTTGGACAGGGGAGAGAAGATAGAACTTCTGGTGGACAAAACTGAGAATCTCCATCAGCAGGTCAGTGATCCTCTAATTCTACATAGCATTTTGTTCCTAAGGCTTATACTGTAATTTTACAAAAGAAGAAATGCTAGCTTTGTATGTCATGAGACTTAATGCTGGCAATATATGCGACTTATCGGGCCTGCATAATACATAGACTGGCACTGGGATCTGAATTTCTCAAGTTATCCCGCTTGCATAGTTCTTGACAGAGTGGGGTGTGTGCAATTGTTTGCAAGGACATAATCACCCCAGTGTTTTCTCTCGGTTTTAATAATAATATGTGACGAAATTGGTACTTACAGGCACAAGACTTCCGATCTACTGGAACAAAAATCCGGAGGAAGATGTGGCTGCAGAATATGAAGATCAAGCTCATTGTTCTGGGAATCCTCATCGCGTTGATCCTCATCATCGTACTCTCAGTATGCAAAGGTTTCAGCTGTGGGAAAAAATAAATGTGTGGAGTTGTTCGATTCGGAGAACCATTTTTCATCCGTTGTCATCCTTGCTTGGGTGGTGAGCTATTATTAAAGACTTCTGCTACGAAATATATTGTTGCCACCTTTTGTCTAGTAAGAGTTTTAGAAGTTTTTTTTTTTGTGATATTGCTGCATAGGAGGATGGATGAACGTTGTGCCTGTGAATGAAATCTGTGTAATCTACTTTGTCTATCCTCTACGTATTGATTGCTACAATGGTTTTTTGGCGGTAAGTATAATATTTGGCCCGCTTTTCATGTGCTGTGAATATGTGCCGACGAGCTTCGGCCGAACTAGTATGATCTGCAGTAAATCTGGTAGCAGTGCTGGTGAAGCAACTGTCAGTTGCTCATGTGCTTGAGATTGTATAATTGATAGGGTAAGAAGTGTCGATACTTCACTTGTTTGCCTGAAATGGTTGTATTAAAAGGAAACCCGGAAATGGTAGGGTTAGCTAGTGTTTGTAAAACCGTATCGAAGATTCGATCGCGAAAATTTCAGGGTAACAGTTAAATAACGATTTTTCGTAACTTTTTCGATACAGTTTCTGGTATGATTTTAGAAGCGCAAAAAAAATTTTTATCAAAAAATTCATTTACATATAAAGCACGTAACTTCTAAGGAGTTGATCTGGTGGTATTGTGGCTTCTGGGGATGAAACATTCATCAAAACTTAAGACTAACAACCAGCGAATAAAAAACAGTCAAGAGAAACAAGAGCACGGTCCGACTGCCAACTTTTTGAGGTTGAGGGAGAAAGACACAGCTAGGCTTTCTGCTAGATATAGAAAACTGAGGAAAATTATATGGATATTTTGGCACTAGCACAGTGGTGTAGGAGCTGCATGTCACATGTGACATCCATGGTTCGAATCCTGCCTCCTCCCTCATTCTGAACCCGTTTCTCTGTCGTCACCGTCCCATTGTTCTTCTCTTCTTCGCGATGAGGGTAGCTTCTTCCCTTTTGCACATCTGGAACTTCACTCTTTCCCTCTCCCTTCTCAACTCCCCTCCACTCCCTTCTCCAGTTTTCCCACCACCTCCCACTCCTTCTCCTCCGCAGGAAATTGTTCTCTCCCACAACGCCAACTCCACATCCCTACCCTCTACGATTCCCTCACATCCCTCCTCCCTATACGTGCTCTCCTCGGGGAAATCCGGCAACCAGTCCGGAATGTGCTTCCCCCTCAGCCGGGCACCCGAGCACGGCGGCGCCGGAGACGATCCCGAACCGTCCGCCCTCGGAATCGGCTTCGCAAAGGGGATCTCGTCGATAGTATTCAAGAAACGCTGCGCGTCTTTCACCACGCTCGATCTCACCAGACAGCAGCCGCGGGGATCGGACGCCCCGGCGAATCCCCGCGCCGATTCGAGCTCGTGGAGGGCGTTGACGACGTCGAAGGCATTCGATTCGGTGCGATTGCTGTCGCCGGAGTAGGACGCCGCCGCCTTGGCTAGGGTTTTGAGGTAAAGACCCGCCACGCGGGTTAGGGTTTCGAGGGCCGGGCCCTCCGCCGACTTGAAACCGACCGATTGGCAGACCTGCGCGACTGCGATTCTGGCGATCCCGTTTGCGCAGTCCGAGGGATTGCTCTCGGGAGTAGGTGGAGGCAGAGCAGCAGCGGCGGGGGCGGAGGGGGTTTTTGGGTGGCGGAGGGACGATCTGGTCCTCATGGCGGGATTGGAAGCTTCATCTGAAAAGGAGATGGCGTTGCTGAGAGAGATTGGCTCTGGGGTGACGGCTCTTTTCTAAAACCCTTAACAATGGCTGGCTGCTGTCCGCCGGGTCAGGCGGGTGTGTGTGACCGAGAATCGTATTTGAATGTAGACTGAGACAGAAACAAAGACGGAAAAGAGATGAGACGAGAGAGCGTAATGTTTTCGGTTATCCCTCTGGGCCTGACTACCATGGGCCGGTGGGCCTTGTGTTCGTTGCTTGGATGATGATTAGGCCAGCCCGTCCAAACCCTTCGAACAAAGAGCACTGTGAAGTTCTGAAACTACAAAGCACATGACTGGGCCTAAAGTCAAGACTTTTCAATTTTCATGCTGTTATGAGCCGACTCATTTCGTGAGCTGAGTTGTAACATGCCGAACCTTTTTCGGGCGAAGGTATTGTCCGCTTTGGGCCACGATTCTCACGGTTTTCGACTTGGGGTGCAATTCAAGGTGAATTCTTATAAGGTCACCCATCCTTGTTGTACTCCACACTGAGCACGTTTAACTTCGGAGTTATCACAAGAACTCCTCCATTTGACCCCAAAACGCATCTTGTCAGTTATGGTCGGTTTCTTACTTATGAACCATGGATCTCCCCCGTGCTTTGTCGATATGGGATTTGCTTAAAGTGTTACATGAGTTCTAATTTCTAAGCAACGAAAAAACAAAACAAAAAAAAAGAAGCAAGTATCCGCAGGTTCTTAGATCAGTTTCCCCACCTTTCCAATGGCTTGTATTACAAAGAACTCACAGATAACAACAATCTACAAACCAAACAATAATAACCATCGTCTACAATCAAAACTATCACAAGGGGCGGGAAATAAATAAAAAGTCTTCCTAGCCATCAAATGGGCCACTCGATTGGTTTGTCTGTCAATAAAATTCACTGTCATCCATCAAAATTGTTGTTGAAGAACCCCAATTTCTTCCATAATCACTCCACCGCGCACATCCTCGATATCCCTTGTCCTAATCTTAATAATAATGATTTCGTATCACCACAGAGTGCCACCTCAGAAAGGCCCTTCAAAGAGCACCACTGGATGGCATCCTAGAACCCGATCAACTCGACCAGGAACGGATCTACAATATCTGCATACTGAAACCCTTGCACAAAAACCACACTTCCCTCCCGATCCTTAACCACTAATTCTCCCACCGCATGAGAGCCCGCCCTTACTGCTCCATCAATAAAGTAAGTCAAGTTCAGCCTTTTCCCTCGTCGAAGTGGTCAAAATCTTGATTTAAATTCTAAAATCTTACCATTGTACTTACCTATTCTGATCCCGATTTCACTATAAAATTTATGGACTTTAAAATCCTACACTATTTATGATTTAAATCTTTAAAATCTTACGATTCAAATCTTTGGGTCAATTTTACTTATTTTTCCCAAAATTTGCAAAATTACGCCTCTTTTCCTTCTCCTCCACCAACATCATCTAGTTCTCTCATACTAACCATCATCGACCATCATCTATTTACATCAACGATCATCATCCATTCACCACTTTCCAACATTAACCTTGATAAATTGAAACATTAAACTTGAGAAATTATCATTATTATTGTAAGTGTTATGTATTTTTGTATATTCATGATTTTTTATTTCGTGTTTGTTTTTATATGGACATTAAAATCCTAAAATTTACGATTTGATTTAATGATTATGATTTTACCCTCATTTTCAATTTTACGTAAAATCTCGATTTTAACTACTATATCCCTCGCTGCTACCCCCTCTGGTACAAGTGCCACGACTAATGTTGCTCCACATTGGTTGGAATGGAAAGCCATTCCTCTACTTGAACCTGGTACTGCCTAATCAAAACAGGGATACTATATTGAATATGAACAAACACTACTTAGTTTATAGATTTCCATATTCGCCTCCCAAACGCATAATACGATCTGGCGAAACATCACGCTCCACCATCCGGCGAAAGACGAGTGCCATAATCAGTCCCTCCAGCTCCTCCCATGACACTAGTAGCCACTACGATTCCATAGACTCACCGCCCCTCTGCAAGTAAAAACAAATGTTCTGGCGACTCCACGGACACCCAACAAACTCGACATCTCGTTAGGCACACACATCCTTTCTCCCTAAGAGTTTCCATTGTTGGTAGTACCCTTAGGATCAATTAATAGAGGAAGAAGTTAAGGTTCGGCGTGATATGAAATCCCCACTTTTAGCTTGAAAAATATGGGATCGAGGGAAGTCTATCCCTTCAATACTCGAGCCAATAACAATTTCGGTTCTTCCATTACACGATAAGCTAGCTTTGCAAGCGATGCTTGATTAAACTCCTCAAATCGTCTAAATGCCAAACCCCCCATTGAACTTTCTGCAACATAAATTACTCTAAGATATCCAATGAGCCTTATCCCCTTCAGCTGAAAAACCACCACCAAAAGCGAGCCATCACTACAAAAAAGATGAGGTTTGGAGACGACAAAAGTCGTCCCCGGAAATAGGAAAAATCGTACCAATAATTTTTGGGGACAACTTAGTCGTCTCCAATGTGTGGTTCCCTATACTCTTGTCCTCTATTATTTTGGGGACGACTAAAAGTTAGTCGTCCCCATTATTAGGGACGACAGTCGTCCCCAATACTCACAAGTTCTCGTGTCATCTTTTTTTCATGAAAGACAATGTGTCGTCCCAATAGCCTGATGTTGGCGACAAAAAGTCGTCTCCTATACATTTTTTTAGGGACAAAATATTGTTCCCAATAATACATTCCGGAATAATATTGTGGTTGTTTAGGGATAATAGATTGTCCCCCTATTTTCCTTTACAGGGTCAATTTGTCGTCCTCGTATCTATGTCAACAAATTGTCTTCTTTTGAAGATAGTTTCTTGTGACCAGATTATGCAAACATCCGATTTTAGAAGATCTACTGAATAAACCGAACAAAAGCTCAGGCTGAGCGAATTCAATACCAACTTGAAGTGGAGCAGCAATGGATTCATTATAATAAACATACAATAATACAATGTGTTGTTCCCATACCATGAAATAATTAATAGTTTGTACCTTTTATATACAAATACATTAAGAAAAAGAATAAACGACCAATAGAAACGTGTTGTGGCTGTGCATTGCGTATTTGCGGTGTCATTCATCGTTATTCTGTAGGGAATAGGGATCACTTCTCAAGCCTCGCGTTCCACCTAACCACTTCCGCCAGAGATACCGCCCCAATGTAACATGAGCCACGCAGTGTCTGCAACGTTGCCCCCGACCTGTTCTCTAAAAAAATCATTGCCGCCGAAATCATCGCGTTGTCGATTGGAGAAGAAAACGAAAAGACAATGTCAAAGAAAGATAAATCTAAAACCGATAATGAATAGATGATTGAAAACCAACAAAAATGGAACTGATATGAATCCCATCATAGCCGGTCTCTACGGAAGACGAGGAGGAAGTGTTGCTAGACCAAGACGATGGAGAGGGAAGTGCCGCCGCTAAGTGAAAAAGATAGAGAATCAAAAGAAGACCATTAGGCCGAGAGAAGGTGAAGAGTGGATTATTGAACTAGGGTTTTTGTTGGTACTTAAAGCTGAATGGACGTTTGAGATTAAGATATGTATAAATCAAAAGGCTGAGATTAAATGGAGAGTTCTGGATCTCCGTTACTTTGTTTTTTTTTTTTAACTATAACCCTCTTTGCGTGTTCTTCTGTGTGTTGAACTAATCCCAGGAATGGAAATATATTAATAGTTATATATTTTTTTTTAATTTCACTACTATTTTAATCAAGGGTGCCTAATTAAAATACTCCATTAATTTATACTTAAGTTTGGTGAGTAATTCATTGGATGAGTTATTAGTCCACTTGTAAATGACATTTTATGTGTTCCTATAGTCCATTTCACAATAATATTGTAGGGAACAATATATTGATATTTTTATAGTTCTAACATGTCGTCCCTATAAAATATTGACTTGAAATCAACAAATTGTCTTCAAAAGTTGGATTTGAGGACAATAAATTATCTTTCCTACTATATTATTTGGATATCTAGTTGTCACCTATAGGGTAGAAATCGGTACGGTATCTGTATCCCAATACCAAATACCGAAATCCTGAATACCGAATTACACTCGAAAGTCAATCCCTAAATAATTTCGGTATCCCAATCCCAATCCCTAAATATTCTGGTATCTCAATCGGTACTTCGGTATCCCAATCGGTATTATCAAATACCAAATTAATTATATTTGAATCAAATAATTAAATATATAAATTAGATTTGATTGTTTAATTTAGAGCAAATAGACTAAGCTAAGAGTCTTGAGTTTGCCTATAGCTAGGATATGGATAAGAAGAATGAAGGAGAGGTGACATCTCAAGTTCTTGGCATTGGTAATCTTTAATTTGATGAATTGGAGACTGAGAGACGACTAATACTAGTGTTTGCTTTTTGGGGTTATGAAAATAACAAGTGATTAGGTGAGAGATGAGAGTGATTTAAATTGGAAAGTCATAATTGAGTTGGATGGGGACTTCTGAGTTGTAAAACAAAGATGGAATGATCTGCGTATAATTAAATGACACTCTTGGTGGTTGAGGGTCGTGTAGTAGTGAATGAGAAAGTCTAGTTGAGAGGATAAAATATACACTAGCTTATATTTCGGTATTCATCGGTATTTCGGTAGATACCGATCTCAATCCCGTAATCCCTAATACCGAATACAATTGAAATTCAATCTCAATCCTAAGAAATAATACGTGTATTCGATAATACCAAATATAGACAAATTCGGTACGGTATTCGGTATATCCCAAATACCAATACTAAACTTCCAACCCTAGTCACCTATAGTCACCTATACTACTTTTAGACATGACCAATTGTCTTTATTTGGTAAAGTGGAAGATGAGAAATTGTCATCCATGTAACTTTTAGTCATGATTAATGACCCCCTTAATTTGTGTTTACGAAGATGAGAGTTAACCTCTTTAACAAATTCTATGATGAAATTCCAAAAGTAGTCTAAAAAATTTAGTTTCAAAAATATAATTTTCTATTTTGTCCATTGGGCGCCGTGCTA